GCGGCCAAAAGAGGAAAATGCGCAGTCAAATCCAGATGGTTCCAATGCAACACCCTCCGGATTGGGCGAATCAGACGGGGCGACCAAACGCCGCATCTCCCATTATGCAGCCGTCATCGACTTCCAGAGGGATAGTGTCACGGTGTCACCATTTCTGAGGAAGCCTCGTTCAGAGTCACCGCGGTCGAGAACTGCAGCTAAGGGCGAGCCACGGACAAAGGGGGAGATCCAGGGCAACAAACCGTGTCAACGGACCACGATCGACAGGAAGCGACGGGCAGAGTCGCCGAGGGAGAGCGACCTGGCAGAAGACTCCAGATTAAGCAACTCTCCATTTCCCTTTACCGACACCGAATCGCCCAGCTCCAGCGCCAGCGCCTATGACGCGGAGCGTCATTCTCCGCAGCTGCCCTCTAAATCGCGAAGGCCGAGCACGGAGAGTCGATCAGAATTCGGTTTATCGTTTCTCGAAAGCCTGAAGATCGAAAACACCCCCCCGGGGCAGCAGGCGACCCTCCACGAGCGCCTTTCAGGCTCCGAAGAAGAACCCCAATGCACGGTGGTGCGGGAACTCCAACAGTCGGTCGAAGGGTCGCGTATTGTCTTGACGCCCACCGATCGTAATTTGATCCGGTACTTCGCGCTAAACGCAGCATCCATGTTGGGCTTGGACGTTTACCCGGATATCGTCCAAAAACACGACCCTGTGCTGCAGCTGTTTATCCCATTTGCTGTTTCTAGCCAATGGTGTTTTGAGACCATGATACTACTATTCAGCGCCAACCATTACCGCAAACACGGACCCCAGCCAGAGAGCGATCTGTTCGATGCCGAGAACCACTATCTCGCCGCTCGACAGAACTTCATCCTTGCACAAACCCGGCAGAGGATATCTGCCCTGGCCAATCACAAGGACTCGGGTGATGAAGACGTCGTGGCTTTTTTGTTCTTGGCCCTTTCAGAGTACTGTGCAGGCCACCGACAAATTGGCCTCATGCACTTCAAAGCGTGGAAAGAATATTGCGAAATGCGACGAGTACTTGGCATCAGGCCCTGTGGCCTGCCCTGCAAGACCATTGTATGGTGGTGTATCTCGGTCTTGACTGAGAGTGACGTACTGCTGGACTCTATAATCAATCCATCCACGAGGGCTCGGGTCAGGGAAGACCCAGGGAAGCTCTTTAGGTATTTTGAGAGTTTCAGTGCAGAGCAGTCTGGTGACACGAGCTTGTCGGTACCGGCAAAGCTGGACAGGCGGATTACCTGTTGATATGAACGGGGTAGGGAGCAAAAGTGGTCTTTGCACCCTTTTTATAACACAGATCTTGTTCAAGATCCCACTTTCTACACGAGATCGTTCGATCTCACTGGGGACGACAGATCCGTGATGCAGCGATGATGTACATTGAATCCGATTTTTTTACCCGATACAGGGGTAACAACCTCAGTCGTGCTTTACCTTCATAGGGAAACTTGATCATTTTGGCAGGTGAAGATCAGCCGATAGAACCTACCTCCATGTCGAGATATGGCGCCATTCGTGATATGCCATTATTAGACCTTGTCGTATTGATATGTCCTAGCTTCCGCGAGTTCTCTCCGCACTGCCAAATCATCTCGAGTAGATTGATTGCCCAGGACTACCAAGAGATGCATTCGTCAAAGTAATTTTTTCAGCAGGTGGTCGACTTCATGACAGCCAAGCCTCTCTCGGTCTTTCTGATCTGTCAGGGTCCTCTCCTTGCGAGAGATGTGACGCTAAAGCTCCACGGCAACTCCGAGGATTAGCGATGGTGTTCTCGTGATACCTCGACTGCCCGTCCCAGCCAGGCATTCGGAGCGCCGGTCCATCGCAGGGAGGTTTCGGTTTTGCTTAGGAACAGCGCATTCCAAGTGCCGGGCTGGGCCACGATCGAGACTAGCAAGTGGTGTTATTGGTGGTCGGCAACGTAATAGTCCTGTATCTCGGAATTAGCTCAGACCAGAGCCGATTGGCTTGTGGAGAAACTGTCCCACAGCCTCCTGCTTGTGTCTTACACATGGATGCCCCAGCTCGCAACTCCCACGAGCAGAGAGAAACAGAGAAAGAGAGGGGGAGAGAGAGAGAAAACAGAGGCGGAGGGCATCAAGAGATGCTCAGTCTGATTTTGTAACTCGGTGACACAAATGCCCGGAGGTGGAGGCGCAGGCCTAAATGTCTTGGCGCCACGAAGGCTGCGGCCGTCCTGCCCGCAATGCTCCACTCGTATTTTACACGTGACTTTGACCCACTTCACAGTCAGGCTGCTTCTATTCTCCCTCTTTAACCACCTCCACTACAAGTTGACTCCTTTACTCCTTTTCTTCTCACCGTTCGTTAACCTTGAAATCTTCAGTGGCAATTAATGCTCGTTCAATGCTCCCCAACCTTCACAGGACTAACATCTCGAAGCCACTGAAGACAAAGCAAGGTTTGTTTCCCCGCAGCAACACGAGGCTCTTCTGAATACCACCTCGCCTATGTACAATCCCCCGCTCCTTTGTCCCGAGTCTTGTAAGCTCGACTTGAGGTCGTCGACTAAACACTCGAAAATCCCGCTCCAACGTATGGTGTCGCCTACAGCGGAATTGCATTTTCTCTTCCCAAGAGACGATCAACTTGAGGAGCACCACTGAGGCGTCGTGTTGGAAAATCTACTGCCCTCATGTATGGGCAGTGATGTGGTCATCCGGCTACTAGGGTCCTACAAGCACTGCGCGTGGCCATGGCAATACAACGACCAGCAAACCTGGAAGTTTGAATAGACTTTGGTCTGTGGCAGGCTCTCTTCCGGCCTTGTCAGCCTTGCAATGATCACCAGTCCTGGTACGAAGTACGAGGATCGTGCCCTGCAGCCGAACAACGAGTTGTCTGTTCGACGGCGTTTGCTTGTCGCGACACCATTGGCTCGCTAACCCTAGCCCTTGCCAACCGAAGTCGTCAAAATCAACGAATCAAGCACCTTGTCTCCACGGGGTTCCAGAACTCCGTGGCCCAGTCGATTAGGGAAACTTAACCGTTCAATAGGAAATCTAGCCGTTCACCACAGCCAAGTGACCACGGGACTTTGATACTTGTCGGTGATGTTGCTGACCAATCCAATGAAATGCAACAGCTGATGGCAGCCAGCACGCACTGGCTTTCCAACCAACCAAGAGAGCCATGTCTATCGATAAAAACCCCATTCCCGAAAAACCCCCTGCCGATCTCTCTCTGGTACGAGTAGACGTGAGTACTCGTCAGATATTTGTTCCCTACACAGAGGTTTTGTATATATTCTTTTCCAGAACGTTTGGACGATACTACGACAATCTATCTCATCGCCCCGCCTCAGACTCAATAGGCAATTCACAATTATCCACACCCGCGACAACCCCTTCCTCAGAGCCGGGGATCATTTTGCGTCCCAAGGAAAATTCCCCGCAACGTCCATTTGTCAGACAACCGTCGCCTGTGGGAAAGAAGAGATACCTACCTACCAAGTAAATAACTTCTACGAGGATATTCCAAAGACTGTTTGCTTTTTTCACCACTGTTCTACAAAGAGGAGAAAACATACCCACGTCCCCTTCCCCCACCAAAAAAAAAAACACCAAGTAAGAAGATATGGGCTCTCTCCCCGTGTCGGCGCCGTCGCGGCTCTTCGAGCCCCTCAAGGTCGGCCACCTCACGCTGCAGCACCGGCTGGTGATGGCGCCTCTGACGCGGTACCGGGCGGACGACTCGCACGCGATCCTGCCCATGGCGACGACGTACTACGCGCAGCGGTCGTGCGTGCCGGGGACGCTGCTCATCTCCGAGGCGACCATCATCTCGCAGCGCGCGGGCGGCTACGACAACGTCCCGGGGATCTACACGCCGGAGCAGATCGCGGCGTGGAAGCGCGTCACCGACGCCGTCCACGCAAAGGGCTCCCACATCTACCTGCAGCTGTGGGCGCTGGGCCGCACGGCGGACCCGAAGTCCGCGGCCGCGCAGGGGATTGAGCTCGTATCGTCGTCTCCCACCCCCCTCAGTAGCGAGGCTCCCGTGCCGCGCGAGCTGCGCGTCGACGAGATCCGCGGCTTCGTCGACGACTACGCGCAGGCGGCGCGCAACGCGGTCGAGGGCGCCGGGTTCGACGGGGTCGAGATCCACGCCGCCAACGGCTACCTGATCGACCAGTTCACGCAGGACGTGTGCAACAAGCGCACGGACGAGTACGGGGGCAGCGTGGAGAAGCGGTCGCGATTCGGCCTGGAGGTGGCGCGCGCCGTCGTCGCCGCCGTGGGCGCCCACCGCACGGGCATCCGCCTCAGCCCCTTCAGCCCCTTCAACGGCATGAAGATGCGCGACCCGCTCCCGCAGTTCACCCACTTCATGGAGGGACTCAAGCCCCTCAACCTCGCCTACATGCACCTGGTCGAGTCGCGCATCTCGGGCAACGCCGACGTCGAGGCCACCGAGAAGATCGACCCCCTGATCGCCACCTGGGCCGACGTCTCCCCCGTCCTGATCGCCGGCGGCTTCACCCCGGCCAGCGCCCGCCGCGCCGTCGACGAGGAGTACAAGGACCGCGACGTCGCCATCGTCTTCGGCCGCTACTTCATATCCACCCCCGACCTGGTCTTCCGAATCGCAAACAACATTGACTTGACAAAGTACAACCGAGGCACCTTCTACACCCCCAAGTCCGAAGTAGGCTACATTGACTATCCTTTCAGCAAAGAGTTTGAAGCTGCCAGTACAAAGCTCTAGAGAACTTCCATGTAACTAGACGATTAAAGCATAAAATATATATGACACCAATTGGAATGTCCATTAAGAATATGCATTTTCCAACGCTAAACCTATGTTATCGTACGGAAGACAAGTTGGTGCCATCTTCTCACTCTGATTTCGCTTCTTCTCAAGCTCTCTTCCCACCAGGGAGGTAGGCGGAGGAATGAACGACCAATGTGCACAAGCACAATGATTACAACCGCGGTAAAGGACCGACTGCTCACACCAGCGCAGCTCGTTGGCGGGGAAACAACTGCCCGCCGGCGTCCATGTATACCCGCCTCTCGTACGTTAGGTCTGGATCATGCTGATCACACTCTTGCCGATACATTTTGATGTTGTTTCCTTCCATCTCCTCCACGACCACCTGTTCTATAATGTCCTGAGCCGTTGTAGGCTGACGATACTCATAACCCATGAAGGCGCCGAGTTTCCGAGCCTCCAAAGCCGGTGCTCCTGCAGCAGGGTCCCGCAAGATGATGTCTCTGGGCCTCTTCTTTTCCCTCTTCTTGGCTTTGGGCTTCACATTTTCCGTGATTATCGTGGCCAGAGTGCCTTCAATATGGAGACCTGTGTCCACAAGCGTGGCTCCAGTCGTGAGGCACCCATTCACCCGTGGTTGCATAAGAGGATTTTTCAGCGCATGCATCTGTTCCGCTTCAGCATGGGTGACCCCCAGTCCGGGACAGTCCTGGGGAGGGGGGATGTTCATGGCGCTGGATGGCACAATATTCTGCCCTTCTGCCTGATGATGGCTCAGTTGGGTAGTTTTGCGCTTGGTGTTTGCGTTTGTATGTTGAGCAGCGGCTTCCTGTCCGGGCGCGACACCAACCTCGTCCAGCGTTGTCGCAGAATCCATGTCGGATAGGGCATCCTCTTCATCAAAGTATTTGGTGTCTTCCCAATCTCTGACGCGAGGCTCATAAGGCGGACGTTGCCGGTAAAACGTGTCCCAATTAGTGTTGGCAAACCATGCATGACGCTTGATATCTTCAGCATCGCCAGGATAGACAAAATACCCCTGGTAGTTTTGATGAGCCTTGTCCGCGACGCAACGGACAAGACGGCCGCCGACAATCTTCCTGGTGAAGTCATTGTGTTCATACTGCCGACTGCAGAGGCGTTTCTCCTTTTCCACCAAAATTTGCATCATGAGATCCAATGCTTCCATGCTCGGAATTGGGACACCCTCTGGTTGTGGAAACATCAAAGTCTTCTTGTGCTGCAGGATCTTGAGCTTGGTCTGTTGGCGGTCGTCGCAGGCAAACGGAGTGAAACCGAAAAGGCACTCGTACATGATGACCGCGATGCTCCACTAATCGCATCGTCCGTCGTACATTTCGCCGCGAATGACCTCGGGAGCCATATACTGCGAAGTGCCAACGACAGACCGGGCCAGGCGTCGACGTTGCGACCGGTTGCGCCAATCCAAAATTGGCTCTCCCAACATGGGTTCTTCCTTGTAATTCGAGTCCTCCTTGCCATGCCTCCTGCTTGCGTGGTGTGAGTGGGCTTCCTTCTCTTGTTTGTCCTGATCGTCACCATCAATCACAATCCCCAAGTCATCCAACAGCGAGTGGCGATTTTTTTGATAGAATCTTTGGTCGTGAGACCAGTCTCCATTAAAAGCCAGACCAAAGTCGGAGATCTTCAGATGGCCGTCGAACCCGATGAGAAAATTGTCGGGTTTCACATCTCGGTGAATCCACTGCATGCGATGAGCTTCTTCGACGCAGAGAATCATTTCCGCAATGTAGAATTTCGTGAACTCTTCGCTGAGAGTGTTCTTGCGGATGAGCAACCCCAGAAAATCGCCTCCGATGCAGTACTCCATCACTAGATACAAGTGCTTTTGATCCTGAAATGCAGCAATCAGAGGAATGACCCATCTCGAACCCTCTGCCGCAACAAGGAAATCACGCTCAGCTCGGAGATGTCCTTCTTGTCCGTTGCGGATCATGTCTGACTTTCGAATGACTTTCATGGCATAAACTTCCTTCCTGGCCTTGGTCGCATCTTTTCGCTTGCTGAAAAGACTGCCAGATAGCAACCTGCCCGACGACATCAAACTGGATCGAGATGGTGCGTTGATCAGCACTTTGTCGGCGCCTTTGATTTCAGAATTCTGCAACCCATCGCCGCTGTTTTTGGCCTTGACCAGTCGAACAACCCCGAAGCTCCCCTTTCCGAGAACGTTGATCACTTCAAAGCCACCGATACTGACCCCCTGACTCGCTTTGGCTGAGCTCGTCGTATTTTTCAGCACTCGGCGCTGTCGGAGATTCTCGCTCTCAGCCATCTCCCACGCTGTCCGAATTCGCTCCCGAATATCCGGAGGCAGCTGTAGTTCACGCATACGCTTCTCCAACTCCTTGCGCCGTGATGCTCTCGGCGGTGTACCCTGGAACAACGAGTTGAAGTGGAGCTCGAAGAATATTTTGGTGGTCGCAGCGGCTTCAACCGTCCTGATGGTGAGGAAGGGAGAATTGATACTTTCTGGGATCGGACTAAGCAAGCGACCTTCTACCATGAATTTCTGTTGGTCGACTTCGACCAAATCGATGCAACCGCGGCGGACGGTTGACGAAGGAGTCAATGGCTCCGAGGTTTGCGCAGTCGATGAAGTCCCATTGATGGAGGAAGATGTACCGCTAATCAATGTGGGAGGGGTAGAAGAGCACGGTGTCGAGGACGCTACGGCTGACTCCCTTAAGAGTGTCTGAACGCTAGGTCTTGAACGTAAGCCTGATCTCTTGACAATGGTCGAGTTCCCGTTGCCGAACGCTTGTTGAAACTTCTGGCTTATGCGGCGCTGGAGTCCGGGGGCAGATTGACTCCTAGAGAGCTCACTCCCATTCTTGCTGGTGGTAAGAGAACCGTATGAATCGTCCTCTTCGTTTTCAGGGACTTCATATAACCTAGGGGTACTCGGAGCGCTCTTGACAGTCGGTGATGCTGAGATATCCCCATCATCGGCCGAGTTGTCAGCAATAGCAGTCAGTCGAATCTTCAAAGGTTGGTGGATCGTCGTCGTGTTTGATTCATTGGCAAGTAAGTATACGGAGTGATTTTCGTGGGTCAGAGGAAACGTGGTCTCGTTGTGGTATTGCATGCTGCCACCGCTACTTCTATCCCCCATGCCCAAGACCGTCTTAATGCTGGAGACCCCCCTCTTGAGCTGGCTCTTGACGCTGAGCTTTGACCGGCCAGTACTGGTGGACTCCATCGATCGCGAGCCTGTGCCGTCAAAGAGATGATTGAGTTTTGGGATCTTGGAAAGAGGAGGGTTGGCCCAGCGAGCTGAGAGGGAGAGCGGAGGAGGAGATGATGGGCGTCGTTTTCGACCCAACGCAGTCATGAGTGTCATAGCGTGGATGGCGAATACTGGCCGCGAGACTTGTTACGAGAGCCGCCGTCAGTTCCTGTATAAGGTACGAGTATAAGAGCAATGGAGATGTAAGTAAAGTCAAGCGAAAGCCAGTGTCGATGTCAATGGGGATGTTTCTGGTGTCGGGATGACCAAAGAGAGCGAACAAAAAAGGAAGATGCGGATGGGCAGGACGAGTTTGACTGCGAAAGTCGCAAAGGAACGCACCTACTGTGTAATTGTCTCTCCCACATTCTCTCACTCTCTGCTTTCTTCTGCTGCTTCTTCATCTACAGCGTGAGGCAAGCGCATGTCAATGTGATGGTACCACTTCACCGGTGGGAATTTGCTTTAGTATTCAAACACCACCGCAGGCAGGCCTCTGTCCACAACAGCTTTCTGCACGTCTCTTTTCAGAACAGCCAACGCTTTCTCCCACGACCCGCGCGTCTCGTCCCTACCAAAGTTCTCATACTCTATCACTAACCCAAACCAATTGACCACAGCGACAGCCTTCGCCATGTCCCGCTCAACAGAGACGACCTTGCTCAGATATTCACAGAGCGCCGTCACATCCTCCATGTCAGGTTCTTCGCCATCCATGGAGAGCTCTCGAACCCAAGCCGAGATGGCGTCCCGCAACTCCGGCAGGGAACTCAGCCTTTGGGAAGTGAACGTTGGCTTATCTGGTCTGTTGGCCAATTGGATCTTCTGTTGCCCTCGTGCCGTAGCTTCTGCTTGAGTAGTGGTACTCTTAGTCTTTTTCCTGTGCACGTCGAAGTTCAGGCCAGATCTGGCTTTCATTCGATTTCTCTTTTGTTCTGCCAGGATTTCCAGGCGAATGTCTTCGGGCAGCTCGTTCAGAAAAGACTCGGATATTTCTTCAGCCATGTGGGAATGTGGCTGTGGTTGGTGCACATTCATCTTGGGCATGGACACGAAATTGGACTGGGTGAGGGTCGACGAGGACTCGCCACCGCGCTTCGAAGTAGCCTTGCCGAACATTGAAGTCGTCTTCGGTTTTTTGGTTGGCGTCACAACTAGCTTCTTCCCTTGACCCGATGTCCTGAGTTTGTGAGGGGATTGAGGTAGCACACTTTGCTGCGCTGGTAACTTTTCTCTTTTATCCTGATGTCTGTACTGGGCTAGCACTTCATCCCTGACGTCTGGTGGGAGTGCTGCAAGAGCTTCGGGATCAAGTTGACTCTGACTCGGTAATGCAGCTTCATTGTCACTAACGAATGGTGAGACTGAGCGCGACAGAGGCTCATTCGAAGGTGACATTGCACGAGTCGAAGTGCTCATAATGTCCAAGATGCTCTTTTGCTTCGGCGCAAGTTTGTTCCTGATATCCGCTGGTAGTTCTGCCAGTACGGTGGAATCAATTTGAGAGGGCAGCATGAATTGTGTGCCGCTGATATTCAGTGGCTTCTGAGCAGAGCTCTCTTCGCCTGTCATGAAAATAGTATCAGTAGCACCAGGAATGACTTGGCCCGGTTTCGGCTTCTCGGGAGTTGACACTTCTTCGATAGGATCAATCGCCTCTTTAGACGTTGGCGTCTGCTTGGGTAGAGGACTCTGCCTGTTCTGGTCTGTCAGTCTGGGGGGTGTCGAAGTCTGTGTGCCAGGTTTCTTGAACTGCAGCCTACGCTGGCTACCATCCATAAAGCCGCCTGTGCTGGTGGTGGACGGCTTCAGCGGCTCCAGTTTCTGCATTTGAACACCCAAGCCTCGTAGCTCTCCAGGTGGGAAGCCATAACCACGTAGAATGGAGATTGCTTCCCTTCCCAGGATATTTGCGTCGTTCGTGGCAACTCCAAGAACAACGCTCTTGTTGAAAGTGTCACACTTGCCATGACCCAGATTCTTGGGAGGATCCAGACCAGCATCCGCAGCTTTGCGCATGATCTTCATGGTCAATTGACGGCCTTTGACCAGTTGCTCCAGAAGCCGCCGCGACAGTTCCTCACAGAGACTCTGAACAAACTCTTCTGCTTGTTGTTGATTGACGAAGCGGATTCCCCAGTTGATCTCGGCCGACACTGACTTCCGGACAACCTGGTCACCGACTTCCTGTTTGTCGATGCCTCGGGAGTAGTCCCATATCTTCTCGCCAGTTTTGGGACCCAAGGTGGTGATGAGTTTCTCTTTGGTGCAGGCTCTAATATCCTTGACGAACTTGATCCCGATTTCTTCCAGTTTGTTCCCAATACTCCATGCAACGCCGGGCAGATCCGTCACTGTCAGATCGCCTAGAAAATCCAGGACCTCTTCTGGCTTAATCAGGTGTTGTCCAGCCGGTTTGGCCTTGCGTAGGGCGACTTTGGCGAGCAGGATATTACCGCCTATACCAACTGAGACGTCGCAGCCTGTCTTTTCTTTCACAGACGCCCGTAACTCCTGTGCGAGACGCTGTGCAGCTTCTTGCTCACGGTATATTGAACCCTCCGAAAGACCCCTTCCATCTGACCCGCCGATCTTGAGACATTGCTCACTGACGTCCAGCAAAGCCTCATCTATACTTATACTCTGAACCACACCATCAACCTCCAGGATAGCATCGTAAAAGTGACGGCTGGCCTCTTCGTAGGCCTTGAAGTCATATGGTAGAATTTTGAGATCAGGGCACAGCCCCAACGCAGATTTCATCCACATACCGTTCTTGATGCCGTATTTCCTAGCGGGATAGTTGCAACTCGCAATCTCGGACCCCGGTCCGCTACCATGTGCAATCACCACAGGTTTGTCAAGCAAGTGAGGATGTTTACGCAAGGATACAGCAGCGAAGAAGCTGTCGAAATCGACATGTAGGATGTATCTCCTTGCACCTGGTGCTCTTCTGAGTCTGCTTTTCTGGGAGGAAAGCTTCTCTTGGGTGCGGGCCTGCAGCTGTGCTTTTAGTTCTGCCTTCCAGGTGGATAGGTGATGCAACCTGGATTCGCGGTAGTATTGGTTGATGAAGTCAGGGTTCGCAGTACTCGATTTGGCCATATGAGGATTGGAGAGGAGAACAGCATTGTGCTCTTCCGCCGTCAACTGGCGCTTTTCGGGCTTTGGAAGGTCGCCTAGTAGAGTGTTTGCTGGTTGAACCAGCTCAGGAGACTTTTGTTGGAGATAAGCGATGTCGTTTGTGGAAACCTCAGCGCCACCGTCGAGATGGAATGCTGCCGCAATTCCAGGTGGTATGGCAACATTGCCATTCGTCTCCTGTTCATGTCCGCGGATGGGAGTTGCGGAATCGACTTCCTTGTCAGAGATGGGGTCATTTGTCTGCTGAACTTGGGTATTATATTCATTGATTCCAGTAGGATGCTGTTCTCCTGTGGAAAATTGAAAAGGGCTCGAACTTCTCTCGGTTTGATCCTTGTATCTGCTCTGTTGAGTATTGACCTGGCTGGTGATCTGACCACTCTCGAAACTCAACACCTTCTGGGTGACCCCTTCATCCACCAACCGATAGCCATCCCACGGTAACAGTCTCCCTGCCTGCACACTATCGACCACCCAGGCTGGCTTGACGATGCGGTATCGCGCGAACTCGACCGTTTTCTTGGGAGTCAGATGGCTTGCAATAACGTGAGTGACGGCAGTCTTGCCATCGAGGTATTGAAGGAAACCGCCGCCATGAGAAACGATGAGGGTGTGTAGGTCGCGTAGCGAAGGCTGGGTGTAGCCATTAACATGGACGACAACGCCGCGGAAGATGGGTGGCTTGTCAGAGGAATTGGCACGTATTTCGACATCTAGATTCTGTAGCTTGATCTTTTTCCTTCGCATATAGTCGGCAAAACCGCCAAACTTGGAGGCTTCATATTCCTCGCCTTGCTCGTCGCTGAAGGTGTGGCCTTCGATGCGCTTTCGCACCAGCGTCGAGTTCTTTTCTAGTCGGGAGCCCATGGTGGGCTAGGAGGTGTCATGATCGCCAAACGACCTGTCTAGGTATCGCGACCATCCCGTGAATGTATGACCATAACATGAATGTGGACGGAGACACAGAGAGAGGTGAGTGGCGCGTGGAGCGAAGCAACGCGACAGGCGCAGGCAGACCCAACGCCGCTTTCACGCCCCCCCCCACTAGTGCCCAGTTCTTTGCCCAGTTCTTATCGATAAGCAAAATTTAAAAGCTTGGCTGGGACTCGTTTCTGAGGCAGCGAAACTCCAAAGGCTCTCCAATTATTGTAAAGCTCTTTTTTTACTTTTTTTGTCTCTCTTCTTTTGCGCCTCACTTGAGTCTCACAAGATCGAACTCGGTCTTCAGTACTCTCTTTTTGGGACTATCCTATCCTGAAATCAATCTGACCTCATCGGTTCTTTGTTTTTGCCAGTCCTGCAGAAAGTGCACTGCCAACATGTCGGGCATTCAACCTGTGGCGCTCTACGCCATGAAAGTCCCTCCGGGCGACATCATGGTCCCTGCCGTTCCCGAGTTTGCTGCCATGGTATGTTTTATCACTGTCCAAATAGCAGGATGGGTGTACTAATTGGCTTGCGCAGTTTCGTTTGACCATGGCCGCCATTGATCCCAGTGCTGAACCTGAACTGGACGATCCCGATGACAAGCGCCCTCCCCGAGCCACTCTCAAACTTATTCGCGTTCCGGACAGCATGCTTGACGATGATGACGATGATGAAGACGATGAGGATTACCTTGCTGGTCTTGACGATGATGAGGACGAAGACAGCGAAGAAGACGACGAGGATGACGAAGAAGTGAATGGCGGGCCGAGCGAGAAAAAGTCCAAAGCTGATGGGGCAGGCGAGGATGAAGATGAGGACGAAGATATGGAAGGATCAGATGACGACGAAGTCACCGCGGAGGATTTGGCAGCCATCGCGAAACTAACCAAGCTCATGAAGAGCGCTAAAGCGAAAGGGAAAGCCAAAGCTCTGGACGGAGAGGACGATGCGGACGATGAAGAAGATGAAGATGACGAGGCCCTTGAGATGGACGAGGTTGTTGTCTGCACCCTCGATCCCGAAAAGGTAAGTCTCCGCCATTG